CTCATCCAAAACAACCTTACATACTTCAATCAAGTTTTCTTTCACACTTTCATGTACATAATGATAATGTACTTCTATATGCTTTGAATTTTTTGTGAAGTTTCCATAATTCGCAATGTTTATTGCTCCAGAATTGTCTTCAAAAATCTTTACAGGATCACTCACTTGTACATTAAACATTCTTATCAACTCTCGTATAAATTTCACTTCACTGACTGCCTCAGATAGTGCTACATACTCAGCATAAGTAGAAGCTTTTGTTACACACTTTTATTTCCGCGATTGGCAATCAACTACATTTCCGAAAAATCTAATAACATATCCAGAAGTAGACTTTCTATCTACATTATCGCCAGCCCAATCTGCGTCTACATAACAATGGATCCGGTAATACTCGGAGTGAGAAACAAAAGTCTATTTAATAATTATTTTAGTTATACATTAATAAATTCTCCATTCTCTACGCGGGTCTTAACAGCAGTGTGTCGTGAGTTACTGTCTAGATTCGCTCTCTCCCATCACGTACCAGCACACACACAGGGAAGGGGACGTGTACATGTATGCCACTCCTACTAAAGCGCGCTCACATATTATACATTATCGTGTACAATATTCTTGACCTTTAATTACATACGTATTTACTTTGGATATCGTACAATATAGATGTACATATATTCTAACACACCTCTTTACATTTATATTGTACGCTTTCATTTTCTCTTTAACTGATATTTATTAACATTCTAAATTTTTTAAACTTTTCTTTACACAATGCCTTAGTAAATATATCTGCAACATTCTCATCCAAAACAACCTTACATACTTCAATCAAGTTTTCTTTCACACTTTCATTAAAACTTGTATAATATGTGAAATATTTATATTAAGTCATACATATCGTTGTATGTATTTCAAACAACGCTACATCTTTTATTGTTTCGAAATATGCACATCATTATAAAAAAATTATGCATATCTCTTCGTTTGTTATTACAGATATAGCTTTTATAAGTAATATACTGTTACGTCCGGCGGACTCCACGATTCGTTTCTTTCATCGTAAATAGAGATTAGCGGTATCTTAAGAGCGCATTACGCCTTGAAATGAACAAATGGAAACTGAAAGGCGAGACAAACTTTTCGGAAACAAAAATTGAGAGGATATATGATACAAACAGGAAACTAGAGCATATCTGATCTAAGAAATAAGCAAAGCTTGGATGACAAATTCTCTTACTAATCTAAATTATGGTTGACAGCTCTCGTAATAAACAATTTCGATACCAAGAATCTAAATGAAAACCGAAACGGACATTAAAAATGATATCATATATGCTCGCCGACAGATCTCTGTTACACGATATCACCTAAGATAAAACTTAGGTAGATAATAAAAGGCATAACTCTCACTCAAATTGCAACAACTCTCCATTGGGCGAAAGCTAATTCTATAAACAAAAGCCTTCACCAATACCTAAGGTTCTAACACCTCCTATGCTAAAGGGCAACGCCTCCCAGCAACATCGGAGGGCGTGAATAAAAAAATCAATTCGCAAAAAATATTAACGAAACCATTGGAGAGGAGGAGCAAAGGGCTTAATATACTCCGAATCTTTCCTCGCGGCTCATTCATCATTCAGTATTCATCATTCAGTTTTCAGTATTCAGATTCAGTTTCAATTCAGTTTCAGTTCAGTTCAGTTCATTAGACAGTTCAGATCTTTACATTTACAGTTCCGTTTAATTACAGTATATTACAGTTTCAGTTCATTAGTCAGTCAGTTAGTTCTACCTTTGCGCCCTAAAAACTGCGCGTGGCTCTTTTGCCTTTTTACTCGGATTTTACTTGATTTTAATCGTGTAAGAGACTTACTTTTATATCTTTATAAGAATTATTGTACAGATTAATTATGCAATATGATGTGCCGTACATGTTTTATATATACATATATAGTTATTTATTGAAAAGTAATTTTATAATTTTATATAAAAATATATGCATTTCTAAATTTGGTATATGTATTTTGTTGTACGTAATTCTAATTTTGATTAATAAAGTTGTTTGTCAAAAATTGTTTGGATTGTTGTGCCTCTAGCCGCTAAGGAAGAGGTCTTTAGGGATTTATACGCCCAAAGGATTAGGATCCACGCTCGAAATAAGACACTCCCGGACGTTAGGTAGAAATTGATATATTTCACAGGTTTTTGTACACTTTTACTTATTCGCGATTATAATAGTCGGGCGCGATACGTACGGTACTTCGATACTATCGATATATGCGAGCGAGTAGTGGGCGAGTAGCGAGCGATGTTAATGAGCTATGTTACTGAGCTAGCGTCGGTGCATCTCGCGCTTATTATATATCTTAATTAATTAGGTCGTTGATTTGGGAGGAGTGTGGTGTCCCTGACCGGAGCATGTCTCGTGCTCCGCTCGTCAGCTGTCTCGTCAGCTGCTTACTCAGCTTCCGAGAACTTGACCGTGACTTCCTTCTCTTTAGTCACGTATCTTTACTTTATTTTATTAATAATCTTTTATTACTTTACTCTTTCTTAATTATCTTTCCTTGATCTCTTTTCTAATTTTAATGCATTGCTTTACTCAGCTCTTTCTTAATCTTTTCTGTTTAACTTTATTGTTTTATCTTTTAATATATTGAGAAATTGGTCGGGTTACGACACGTATGTATACGTTTCGATTGGGCCATATTGTTCGTAAAAAGCTTTTCGATATGTGTTATTTTTATATAATCATAATGAAAGCCATGTGAAAAGTAAGAAATATAGAAGGATAAACATTAAATATACAGATAATAGGAATTGTAAAAACATATATTTTATTTGTAATTGCACAAAAGAATATCATTATTTTATATTTATTTAAAATAATTTAAAATTAAAATGAAATAATAAAGTCACTTAAATATATCATACAAAGGAGAGAAAAGGCAATTAAAAAAGAGCATGGTAATGTCAATGTAAGTTAATAAATAAATATATACGCTTAAATATTGTTACGTCCGGCGGACTCCATGATTCTTTTCTTTCATCGTAAATAGAGATTAGCGGTATCTTAAGAGCGCATTACGCCTTGAAATAAACAAATGGAAACTGAAATGCGAGACAAACTTTTCGGAAACAAAAATTGAGAGGATATATGATACAAACAGGAAACTAGAGCATATCTGATCTAAGAAATAAGCAAAGCTTGGGTGACAAATTCTCTTACTAATCTAAATTATGGTTGACAGCTCTCGTAATAAACAATTTCGGTACCAAGAATCTAAATGAAAACCGAAACGGACATTAAAAATGATATCATATGTGCTCGCCTGACAGATCTCCGTTACACGATATGTACCTAAGATAAAACTTAAGTAGATAATAAAAGGCATAACTCTCACTCAAATTGCAACAACTCTCCATTGGGCGAAAGCTAATTCTATAAACAAAAGCCTTCACCAATACCTAAGGTTCTAACACCTCCTATGCTAAAGGGCAACGCCTCCCAGCAACATCGGAGGGCGTGAATAAAAAATTCAATTCGCGAAAAATATTAACGAAACCAATGGAGAGAAGGAGCAAAGGGCTTAATATATTCCGAATCTTTCCTCGCGACTCATTCATCATTCAGTTCTCATTCATCATTCAGTATTTCTTCATTCAGTTTTCAGTATTCAGATTCAGTTTCAATTCAGTTTCAGTTCAGTTCAGTTCATTAGACAGTTCGGATCTTTACATTTACAGTTCCGTTTAATTACAGTATATTACAGTTTCAGTTCATTAGTCAGTTAGTTCACATTTATTACAATTACGTATTTATAATTACTTCGACTTCAATTCTTAAAATTTTATACAAACTCTAAGTGTTTCGAAACCGCGTTGTTTGATGCAAAAATTTAGACACTCGGTGCAAATCTTGTGCCAAGCGACTGCAGCGGCGATTGCGAGCCGCATTCCAAGAACCCAGGTCGAGTCAATTCATCGAAACTCCTCTCGTCCTTAGGAGCCTTCCATTATCTGATTTTTTTTGTTACCAACGTACTTGATAAGTAGTAAGTGTTTTGAATGTTCTCAACTCTATTTCCTTTTTTTTGTTATATATTGTTCGAAACCGAACTCAGTATAATTCACTATAGCAATTATTATCCGATAATGAGCGCTATTGCAAAGCGCGGCTAAGCGCGCTCGAAAATTGGCGCGGTAGCGGCCATCTCGCGCGGAACACGGCGCGCCGCAAATCAGAGCGCGTATTCTCAGACTCGATACACGAATCGCGCCAGGCCCGCGGCATCGCTCGCATTCTCGCGATCTCTCCGTCGCCAAATATTCGTCGCTTGCGAATATTGGAGCCGAGATCGTTCCGTCGCTCGCGGATTCAAATTTCGTGGTCGGTAGCTAGCCGACTCGAAAACGAGATTACTTTTAACGAAGTAATTAAATCGATTAAGGACTTGTAAACTATTTATTGAATTTAATAAATTGACTGCTTTTTACAAAACCGATTTCGTGTCCGTTGCTCACTCAATTCGCGCTCCCGGGTTCACTCGCGCACATATATATTTGTTATTATATTTGTAATTTTTTATCAATTCCAATATTTTTTATTACAATATTTTAAAATATTCAATTAAATTGATAAATTTAATGATAACAGGTTTGTACGCAGAATAAAATAGCACAATGCCAAAAATTAAAAAATTTAAAGAGTTGTCACGCAGACAACAAAATCGCCGTTTATTACTAGCTGCACAAAACGACAATATTTCCATTAGCCTTCCAAAAAGGCTTGTTACTAACAAGCAAGCTTCTTCTTACATAGTATGCTCTCTCGAAAATCAGAATTGCAGTACAATACAACTGTTTCCTGAAGTAGAAATACAAAATATACAATCAGATGATATGGAGTCAGATAATAATATAGAAGATTCTAATTTATTATATAATAATAGAGACGAACGAAAAGGCACTTTACATGAACAGTTACATACCTGTGTGTGTGTGTGTGGGCTATTAAATATAATATTACTCAAAAATCTCTGACAGCCTTATTGTGTATTCTACAGAAAGAAGGTCACAATGATTTGCCCAGTGATGCTCGAACCTTGTTAGGAACACCCAAAAATACAATTATTCGAGAGTGTGGAGCTGGCCATTACTTTTATTATGGTCTGGAAAAGGCATTACGAGAAAAATTGAAATCTTATAAAAATATCAATAATAATATAATAGAAATTAATATTAATATCGACGGCCTACCTCTTACTAAAAGTTCCCAAAGCCAGTTATGGCCTATACTTGGTCAAATTTATAATATTCATGTCACGGAACCCTTTTTGATTGCTGCTTTTCACGGTTATAAAAAACCTACGCATGCACAAGATTTGTTAGAAGAATTTTGTGATGAATATCGCATCCTTCACGAGGAAGGATTTTTATTTGAAAATAAAAATTACCGTGTAACAATCAGAGCAATTATTTGTGATACTCCTGCCAAATCCTTTGTAACTGGCTCAAAAGGGCATAATGCATATTTTGGCTGTGGTAAATGTTTTTGCGAGGATGATTATATTAATCACAAAATGGTTTTCTTGGATGAAAATGCCTCGTTGAGGACGGACAGCAATCAATTCCAATATTTTTTATTACAATATTTTAAAATATTCAATTAAATTGATAAATTTAATGATAACAGGTTTGTACGCAGAATAAAATAGCACAATGCCAAAAATTAAAAAATTTAAAGAGTTGTCACGCAGACAACAAAATCGCCGTTTATTACTAGCTGCACAAAACGACAATATTTCCATTAGCCTTCCAAAAAGGCTTGTTACTAACAAGCAAGCTTCTTCTTACATAGAATGCTCTCTCGAAAATCAAAATTGCAGTACCCTAATATTAAATGAGAAGAACTTTAAGATTTATATTATTTGCATTTATTGCATTGAATTAATTTATTTGATTGATGTTCTTTATTTGATTTGTAATTCAAGATTTATTTATTTAGATTTGTGTATTAAGATAGTTCCTTTCTTAACTTAATTTGCAGGAGACATATATGTTCCTGTTATACTCCATTACTATATTGTTCATCTAAACTAATTTGTAATTAAAATTGCATTTTTTCTATTGCAGCGATAACTGAGAAAAAAAGTAAGACCAAAGCTGTCCGGGAAAAAAGAAGATCTGAATCTATCTCAAGCAAAGTGAGTTTTATCATAATGATCAATTATTATTATTAACTTAATTTGCGAGGGGCATATATGTTCCTCTTATACTCCATTACGTAAAAGAAAATTATGTATACATATAATTGATACCAAAAGAAAATATTATATTACACATAAATATAACTTTAGAAGTGAATCTGGTACATAAATATAAAAAAGATATAAGTGTTTATTCTGATCTTGTTTTTTAAATAAAGTTAAATTATAAAATCATGCGGTTTATATAATAAGACTTAGTAGAATAAAAACTTTTTTTTATTTCAATAATTCTTGTCATAAATTGAGTCAGTGTTGCATCTTTACAGATGTTTACCTTTGAAAAAAGGATACCGAAAATGATCACTTTGGATTTTAAATATGTAAAATATTTGGATGAAAAACGAAAATATTTTTACCAGAAAAAAAAGTTTTAAAAATCAAAAATTTGTATATTGAGAATTGTTTTTAAAAGCAAGAACATCTCTATATATAATATTGCAATACATAAATAAAATAATAAATAA